CCGGTAAGAGTAAATTAAAGGACCCTTTTTTCAGTGGCATCTCAGTCATATGATGCTGTGTGTATATCTGTATAGACCAGTCAACATGCAGTAAGTGATGTTGACATCATGCTGGCTATTTTACCTGGCAGGACAGTACCTGGTACCTATTTTAGGCTGAGTTGATCTGGAAGCAAAGATCAATTTTGAAAAAAAAAAAAAAAAATAGTCTGTCCCAATGCATGTGTGAGCTTAAGACCTGGTTTTCCTCCGCCTTTTTAATACCAATGTCCCACAGAAGCAAAGAAAATGGCTTTGCAGCCCACATGACAACTAAACACAGAAGCAAAAGTGGGCCTGTTCACGTTTTCAGGCCCAGGATTAGAGTAAATTCCCTTGCCATTCATGCCTGATTAGGTAGCTGGACCCCTCCCATGTTGTGGGGGTGTCATGATATGGCTTGGTTTGGCATTCAATCGGTGTATGTAATGTTTGTGGAAGGTTGTGTTGTTGTGAGTCTATTTCGGGTGCCTGTGTACAAGTAAGACGTAATAAAGGGGCCCAATTCTTGGCTATCAAAACTGGGATGGTTTTGTATTTCTATGTTCATTATCTGTGGCTTCCCCCTGAGAAAAAGAAAGCAGTTACAAAACAGAAAGCAGTTACAAGGAGTGCAGGAATATAAAAATATTGCTGTTTCCAAACTCTCGAACCGTCGCACAGGTAGCAGAATGTGAAAATTATCATGCGAGTGAGCGGTGGGCAAACGAGAAAAGAGGCAGTGGTTAATACGTTCGCCCTGGGGCAGGCAGAAAAGCCACATTTATTCCAGATTTACGGTATTTATCATGAATCAAGGCCAGAGGGTTGTGATATCCATAGTACTGAGCTGAGCAAAGTTTTAACAACTCGTGGTTTCTGGATATTTAAAATCAATAAAGTAGCTATGTTTTGAATGCAAAAGATGAGCAAGTTTGAAGGTTTAACAGCCTCATTTGAAATAATTTTTAAACATAGTAGGCAGTTGACTGCCAGGAGCTGCAGTAAAATCAGGCTTTGAAATGACTTTTTTGAAATGCTAAGGTCTGCTTTTCTCTTTTTGGTTTGTTTCACATTTCAGAATATCAGCAGATGTTTTTTTTTTGGTTTTTTTTTTTGCTAAACTTGGAGCACAAATTATTTTTTCCCCAAATATCATCGTTGCCTTTTCTTAAAAAAAAAATTTCACCACACATACGTGCGTGCGTGTGCACAAAACTTGCTTTCCTGAAAAGACAGCATAGTGTTAGAAAACAGTACAGATAAACGCAGTATAATAAACATTGTACGACATGTGGGCAGGCGAAGCTGAAACAATTCTGATATTTGGAGGCTGCACCTCAAATTCAGGCACCAAATTGTCACACACGAAGATGTACTCACTTTGCAGAAATATAGCGCTGCAGTCATATAGCTGCTACACCTTATAGTTCTAGCCCAGATTGTCTACATGTAACTTAACTGTGTGATGTCTATATATAACGATTGTATGACATTGCACATGTTTTCCTCGATTTCTGCCTGTTTGATTCTCATTCTTGAAGTGTTGATTCTAAGGACTGCAATCCTGGTAGAAAAAACTACCAGCATTAGTTACATGATTTTGCAGAAATATTTAGCGGCCCACCTAGATTTTTCTCTGGCCCACTGGTTGAAGAACACTGGTCTAGTCACTCCTCTACTGCAGCTCTCAAGTCTACTAAGATATTACTTTAATTTAAAATTCAATATTTAACTTATGGCAATATCTGTGTGCTGCCATAGTTATTCAGTGGATACAGAACTTTTCCCAACGACAAGGCCAGCATAGTAGTTGACATTGGATATATTTACCTCCTGTGAGTTTTAAGCCCACCCCCCAAAAAATAGACCCAGTGACTACAAGTTAGTTGCTTATCCTCTACATCCATTGTAGAACTGGTTGCAGCATTGTGTGTGGCTCTTTTGGATGTTAATGAGCAGTTTTACATTTTGTAGTTTGCGGTTGTTTTCCAAGCAGTCGACTTTTGATTACCATTGTCGAAATCAACACAAATGATCTGCTGCCTTATTGCCCACAATTGGAAATGAAGGGGATATCTTGGAATAACAAACTGTTGGCATGCCTAAGCCATAGACGCCAACCTAATGACTACACTAGACTAACACTATAGTAGTTTGGATCTATCTCTTGTTTGGTAATAGAATGACTGCAATTCAGTGAAACTATAGTAGTTTAGATCTAACTCTTGTATTCTGCGCGTACGTGGCTTAGGTGTTGTGAGTCCGACTCGTAATTGCAACATACCATGTTCGAAACCCACTGCTGGCTGCGTGGATTTTTATCACAGTATGGGGCGTCGCAGGTCGACCCAGCCTTAAATGGGTACCTGGATGACTGTCCTGGGGAAGTAAAGAGGGCCGGCGTAATGCTGACCACATTACCCACCAGTGCCGATTGGTCTGTAAAAATATGGGAATCTCTTCCCATATGCCCAATGTGCCTAAGGCATGAAAAGGGATCTTTACTTTTTTTAAACTTATTTTTTACTCTTGTTTTCTGACCAAATATTGTATTCACTAAATGACTACAATATAGTGATACTATGGTAGTTTGGATCTAGCTGTTGTAACAGTGTAACTGCAATACAGTCATACTATAGTAGTTTGAATCTATCTCTTGTATTGTAACAAAATGGCTGCAATACAGTGACACTATAGTAGTTTGAATCTATCTCTTGTATTGTAACAAAATGGCTGCAATACAGTGACACTATAGTAGTTTGAATCTATTTCTTGTATTGTAACAGAATGACTGCAATACAGTGATACTATAGTAGTCTGATGAATATACCTCTTGTATTGTTACAAAATGGCTGCAATACGGTGACACTATAGTAGTTTGATTCTATCTTGTGTATTGTAACTGAATGACTGCAATACAGTGACACTATAGTAGTTTGAATCTATCTCTTGTATTGTAACAGAATGGCTGCAATACAGTGACACTATAGTAATTTGAATCTGTCTCTTGTAACAAAATGGCTGCAATACAGTGACACTATAGTAGTTTGGGTCTATCTCTTGTATTGTAACAGAATGACTGCAATATGGTGATACTATAGTAGTTTGGATCTATCTCTTGTATTGTAACCAAATGACTGCAATAATTTTGATACTATAGTAGTTTAGATATCTCTTGTGTAACAGAATGACTGCAATACAGTGATACAATAGTAGTTTAGGTCTATCTCTTGTATTCTGACCAAATGTTGTATCTTAACCAAATGACTACACTATAGTGATACTAAAGTCGTTTGGATTTATCTCTTTTCTTCTAACTGAATGACTGCAATACATTGATACTATAGTAGTTTAGATCTATCTCTTGTATTCTAACCGAATGACTGCAATACAGTAATGCTATAGTAATTTAGATTCAGCTGTTGTATTGTAACCAAATTACTGCAATACAGTAACACTAAAGTAGTTTCGATCTATCTCTTGTATTGTAACCAAATTACTGCAATACAGTAATGCTATAGTAATTTAGATCCAGCTGTTGTATTGTAACCAAATTACTGCAATACAGTAACACTAAAGTAGTTTGGATCTATCTCTTGTATTGTAACGGAATAACTGCAATACAGGGATATTATAGTAGTTTGGATCTAGCTAATGTAGTCTTACCGAATGACTGCAATACAATGATAAGATAGTAGCTTGTATCTATCTCTTGTATTGTAACTAAATGACTGCATAGAATAACACTAAAGTAGTTTGGATCTATCTCTTGTATTGGATCAGAATAACTGCAATACAAAGATACTATAGTAGTATTCTGGATCTAGCTGTTGTAGTCTAACCAAAGATCTTCATTAGATACAAAGCAGTTTGAATCTATCTCTTACATTGTAAAGGAATGACTGCAATACAGTGATACTATAGTAGTTTAGATCTGTGAAGCACATTGTAACCTTATGACTACAACAGAATGACATTATAGCGGTTTGGATATGTGCATGCACAACTGAAGTTTAGAAGTGTAAGAATAGTCAGAACTTTCTGCCAGAGTTTACAACTGGTGAACGCCAAGAGGAAGAATTTTAGTACAGTGGTTCCCAGTTAGCTAAGACCTGCGGACCCTTTTATTTTATGTTTTGCCACAGATCCCAAGATTTGTTTAAAGTTATGCTGAAGAACTTATTATCATTTGTGAATATAATCACAAAATAGAAGGTATTCTAAAGTTAATGTTTCTATTTTTTATTTTTGTAAATTTATTATATGGAAACACCCCCACCCACCTCACCCATCCCCCATGGGGACTGCCAAATGGAACCACTGTATTCGTACATTGTAAATCATTGTGTGGATTCCGGGACTTCGTTTTGAAAAACAAAGAATACTCAACCCCTCCCAACAGGCATGTCGTAGGATATGACCAATCAGGGCTCTTTCCTTTAAAGTCGGAGTGCATCAGCATGAAAGGCAAGGTGTCTACAGTCTGCATACAAATAAACCAGATCTGTGAAATGGAAATGCACACAAAATTCAAGTTTTAGATCAAGATCAAAGTCCAGGAATGGACAAACAGTCAAAACTTCACACAGGAGTTTAGGGTCAGTGAACGCTAAGAAAAAAAGACTACCCCAGAATTATGCATCTAATACTTTGTTGGAACAGCCGTGGTCTAGCGGCTAGATGCTCACATGCGGTTTGGGGTCCTGACAGTAGGCTAACATTTTTCAGAAATGAACTTGGCTCCCAGGTCGACCCGACCTTGAGTAGGTATAATCCTGGGAAGTAATGGTGGCCGGCGCAATGCTGACTACATCGCTAACCAAGTGCAGCCTGGTCTATAAAATATAGGTCTAGCCCTATTTACCCAATACGCCTGAAAGTGTGGAAAAGGGTCTTTACTTTTTGGGGGGTTTTTAAACCTAATACTTTGTTGCACAATGATATCACCGTAATAAACTTTGGTTTGATGTTCTATCCAGATGATTATGATAGTGGGACTTCCTGGAGCTGGGAAGACCACGTGGGGTATCAACATGGAGAAGAATCACCCAGAGAAGAGGTACAACATCATTGGCACAGACACCCTGATAGAGAAGATGAGGGTCATGGGGTTGCCTAGAAAGAGGAATTACCATGGACGGTGGGAGGTGCTCATCGGCAAGGCTACAACATGCCTTAATAAGCTGTTTGCTATTGGTAGGTGACAAAATATGTTTCTTTGTGCAGAGTTTTTAAATTATTTATGATATTTTAGAAATTTGGATGCATTAGTACATTTTAAGCTAAGGACTAAACAAGTATAATACTGTAGTAATCTGGATATATTACTTTTTCTTCATGAACACTGGCTGTAAACTCCAGTGGAAAGTTCTGTTTGTTTGTCCACCCCTGGACTTTAGTCTTCTTCCAGAGTGCTGCATGCATATCCATTTTACGTATCTGACTCCACTCAAAGCCATTGGCACAGCTGCGATGTCAAGTTTGATATACACCACTCAAAATACATATGCTATAGTTCAGTTGTATCTGACCAAGACTAGATGGAGAATGGCCCACACGACACATTTATTTATGTATGCATAATCTCTTTCTCTCCCTCTCCCCCTATGTTTCTCTCTCTTCTCCCCTCTCTCTCTCTCTCACACACACACACACAGCAAAACCTCATTAACACAAAATCCAGGGGGATTAAAATCGAGTTCATGTATAAAAAAATCATACTAACAGGAACTGATAATAATAATAATCCCTGCTGGGACCAACATTGTGTTCATGTTAACCCACTGTTCTTCTTAAGCAATTTCATGAATGTATATTATTGTTTCAGCTGCAAAGCGAAGAAGAAACTACATCTTGGATCAGACAAATGTGTACGCCACGGCTCGCAGACGCAAGATGAGGAATTTTGCCGGGTTCTACAAAATAGCAGCTGTGATCCAGCCTGATGACCCAGAACTTGAGCGCAGATCTTATAAAAGAACTCATGTAGATGGTAATTTTGTTTTCCTGTCCTTATTAGCTTCACCTTATGGGAGTTAGCTTATGAGGGGTTGCCTTACGAGGGTTAGCTTATGAGGGTTATGTTATAAGGGTTTCCTTATGGAGGTTACTGGTTTCATTACAAGAGTTGCTGTATAAGGGTTACCTTATGAGGGTTACCTTAGGAGGGTTACCTTAAATGGGTTGCCTTATGAGGGTTACCTTAGGAGGGTTACCTTAAATGGGTTGCCTTATGAGGGTTACCTTAGGAGGGTTACCTTAAATGGGTTACATTAGGAGGGTTACCTTAAATGGGTTGCCTTATGAGGGTTACCTTATATGGGTTGCCTTATGAGGGTTACCTTAAATGGGTTACCTTAGGAGGGTTACCTTATATGGGTTGCCTTATGAGGGTTACCTTAGGAGGGTTACCTTATGAGGATTACCTTAGGAGGGTTACCTTAGGAGGGTTACCTTAGAAGGGTTATCTTATGAGGGTTACCTTAAGAAGGTTAGCTTATAATGATTGTCCCATGAGAGTTACTTTATGCAGGTTGCCTTATGAGGGTTGCTTTTAATGAAGGATACCTTTAGAGTGTTAGTTTATGCAGTTTTCATTAGGAAGGTTACCTTAAAATGTTTCTTTTTAAATGCTTCCTTGGGAGTTTTATCTGTGGGTGATAACATGCATTAGGGTGCAGAATTGTTTACTAAATATATGGAATGCATTAGAAAGAAAGTTGTATTTGAGATTTTGACAGTAAGCAAACTAGGTGAAAAACATGTAAGGGAAATGTGGTTTTTGGCAAGAATGCAATAAATATTGTGAGATGAAAGAAACTCTAATAAGGCACACCTCCTCATGACATGAAAACCATAAACTGATTAGAAATTGACAGTGACTGTCCTTTTCAAAGGGTCCATTGCTTTGTTTAGTTTTTAAACACCACATTGAGGTTAGTTTGGTATCCTTTACAAGTTGTTGCAAAACCAACTCCAGCATTTTTTGTTGTTGTTGTTGCCTTTGTGGTTTTTCTAAGCAAATGTTTACGTTCATTAGTTTGTCTTGCTTCTGAACGGTCAGCTCGCTATACTACCATAAAAAAAAAGAAGTGCATTTGCAACGCCTAAGCCACAGATAGCTGACAAACACCACAGTAGCCTTGACAAAATCTGTAATTGTAGACATAGTTCCTGTAAGAAGATGCGGGGATGATAGCCACAGGATATTGGATAATTCTAGGCATAACCAATACATGAGGCAGGGAAATTGCTACAGGACTAAAGGGCTTTCCAGTTGACCAAGATGAGAGCAGAATACTTCAATGGACCTGCTACATGATGATGCTGATCAAGATTATGTTTTTTAAATTGTGAAACAACATTAATTTTTATACATTACAGATTTTATGATTCAAAATCTGTATTGTTTCCTTGTAAAATGGTTGAAGCCCTCAGTGTTTCCATTGTTGGAACTTTCAGCTAAATCTGTGATTTCCTGCTCTGGAATGTTCAGTAAAAAAAAATAATAATCACCATTGTTTTTATTCTCTGAAACCTTCAGGTGAATGAGTTAAAATCTGCAATGTTTTCATTCTCTGAAACCTTCAGGTGAATGAGTTAAAATCTGCAATGTTTTCATTCTCTGAAACCTTCAGGTGAATGAGTTAAAATCTGCAATGTTTTCATTCTCTGAAACCTTCAGGTGAATGAGTTAAAATCTGCAATGTTTTTATTCTCTGAAACCTTCAGGTGAATGAGTTAAAATCTGCAATGTTTTCATTCTCTAAAACATTCTGGTAAATAGTTAAAATCTGCAATGTTTTCATTCTCTAAAACATTCTGGTAAAGTAGTTAAAATCTGCAATGTTTTCATTTTCTGAAACCTTCTGGTAAATAGTTAAAATCTGCGATGTTTTCATTCTCTGAAACCTTCTGGTAAAGTAGTTAAAATCTGCAATGTTTTCATTCTCTGAAACCTTCAGGTAAAGTAGTTAAAATCTGCAATGTTTTCATTCTCTGAAACCTTCTGGTAAATAGTTAAAATCTGCAATGTTTTCATTTTCTGAAACCTTCTGGTAAATAGTTAAAATCTACAATGTTTGCATTCTCTGAAACCTTCTGGTAAATAGTTAAAATCTGCTATGTTGTCATTCTCTGAAACCTTCTGGTAAATAGTTAAAATCTGCAATGTTTTTATTTTCTGAAACTTGCAGGTAAAGTGGTTAAAATCTAAAATGTTTACATTATTTGAAACTGTTAGGTAACGTAAAATCTACAATGTTTCCATTCTGAAATGTTCAGGTAAAGTGGTTCCAGAGTCTGCAGTCTTAGAAATGAAGGCCAACTACTCCATCCCAGAAGACAGAGACAACCTCTTTGACAGAATTGATTTTGTTGAGTTGAAGAGAGACACTGTGCAGCAGCTTGTCAGAATGTAAGAGTTGTGTTTGTTTTTAGTAGAGTAGATAAGAGAGGGTGTGTAAAATCTTGTTAGAATTGATAAGAGATGCGCTGGTGGTTATTCTGGTGTATGATTTCTGTTTGTGTTTAACAGAATTGATAAGAGATGCACAGGTGGTTATTCTGGTGTATGATTTCTGTTTGTGTTTAATAGAATTGATAAGAGATGTGCAGGTGGTTATTCTGGTGTATGATTCCTGTTTGTGTTTAATAGAATTGATAAGAGATGTGCAGGTGGTTATTCTGGTGTATGATTCCTGTTTGTGTTTAATAGAATTGATAAGAGATGCGCAGGTGGTTATTCTGGTGTATGATTCCTGTTTGTGTTTAATAGAATTGATAAGAGATGCGCTGGTGGTTATTCTGGTGTATGATTTCTGTTTGTGTTTAACAGAATTGATAAGAGATGTGCAGGTGGTTATTCTGGTGTATGATTCCTGTTTGTGTTTAATAGAATTGATAAGAGATGCGCAGGTAGTTATTCTGGTGTATGATTTCTGTTTGTGTTTAATAGAATTGATAAGAGATGTGCAGGTGGTTATTCTGGTGTATGATTCCTGTTTGTGTTTAATAGAATTGATAAGAGATGCGCAGGTAGTTATTCTGGTGTATGATTTCTGTTTGTGTTTAATAGAATTGATAAGAGATGCGCTGGTGGTTATTCTGGTGTATGATTTCTGTTTGTGTTGAACAGAATTGATAAGAGATGTGCAGGTGGTTATTCTGGTGTATGATTCCTGTTTGTGTTTAATAGAATTGATAAGAGATGCGCAGGTAGTTATTCTGGTGTATGATTTCTGTTTGTGTTTAATAGAATTGATAAGAGATGCGCTGGTGGTTATTCTAATATATTATTTCCGTTTGTGTTTAATAGAATTGATAAGAGATGTACAGGTGGTTATTCTGGTGTATGATTCCTGTTTGTGTTTAATAGAATTGATAAGAGATGTGCAGGTGGTTATTCTGGTGTATGATTTCTGTTTGTGTTTAATAGAATTGATAAGAGATGTACAGGTGGTTATTCTGGTGTATGATTCCTGTTTGTGTTTAATAGAATTGATAAGAGATGCGCTGGTGGTTATTCTGGTGTATGATTCCTGTTTGTGTTTAATAGAATTGATAAGAGATGTACAGGTGGTTATTCTGGTGTATGATTTCTGTTTGTGTTTAATAGAATTGATAAGAGATGCGCTGGTGGTTATTCTAATATATTATTTCCGTTTGTGTTTAATAGAATTGATAAGAGATGTACAGGTGGTTATTCTGGTGTATGATTCCTGTTTGTGTTTAATAGATTGATAAGAGATGTGCAGGTGGTTATTCTAATATATTATTTCCGTTTGTGTTTAATAGAATTGATAAGAGATGCACAGGTGGTTATTCTAGTGTATGATTTCTGTTTGTGTTTAATAGAATTGATAAGAGATGTGCAGGTGGTTATTCTGGTGTATTATTTCCGTTTGTGTTTAATAGAATTGATAAGAGATGTGCAGGTGGTTATTCTGGTGTATGATTTTTGTTTGTGTTTAATAGAATTGATAAGAGATGTGCAGGTGGTTATTCTGGTGTATGATTTCTGTTTGTGTTTAATAGAATTGATAAGAGATGTGCAGGTGGTTATTCTAATGTATGATTTCTGTTTTTTGTGTGCGGATAGAATTGATAGAAGATAACACAAAGAAGGTTATCAAAAGGAAACCCAGCTTTAAAAAATTTACACCAGTCATAAAATTTGTTTATGAATTAGTTGTATTCCTATTTTAACTTTGATTTACTAACTTTCTAATAGTTACAATGACGAGGGAAAGACAAAGCCAAGAGATGACAACTCACAGAACAGATTCGATAGTGATCGGAAACTGGGGGTAAGACATCATGTGTTAATTAGATTACATATTTGTTTATGCCACGGAGAAAAATAAGTGCTGAATCTGTCAGCTTGTTTCCTAAAACTGGGTGTTAATGAGTTTAAATATAAGAATTTCTTATTCTTCTCCGTTTATCATTAAAAGAGTGGTTGGTGTATTGTTGTTTACAACTCAGCTTGATATCTGCCCCTTATGGCTCAACACAGCAAAACTTTTTTTTATTAGTCGCCTGTTATAACATGCTTGTGTGTTCTGTTTTATCTCTAACTAAAATATAGTCTGTTTATGGATAGTTCTTTGTGATTCTGGCACAAGTGGGGGGGGGGGGGGGGGGGGGGGGAGAATACCTACTGTGGTAACATTCATCTGTGCCTTCAATGCCCACTTATGGATTTAAAGTTGAGAGGAATAATTTAATTGCACAGGGTTTTATCCACTATGGCTCTGTCTCTCTGGCTGTGTCTCAGAATGACTAACCGCCTACTGAGAGCGTCATACAATGTAGTGCACAAACTCTGTAGCCCTAGCGGCGATTCCCAGAGATCTCAGAAAAATTGCACTCTTGAATTGCACAACGCAGCCGTGAATTGAACCTACGGCTTTCGGATCGTGAGGCGAATGCCTTGATCACTTCACGATGGTTAGTTAGTTGCGTATCCTTTACAGGACGTTGCAGAACCAACCCCAGCATTTTTTGGCTGTTGTGGTTTTTCTAGGCAAATTTACGTCCAGTGGAGACCCCCGGAAATTGCATTGTCAGAAGTGGGATTTCAACCCACGCCGACAAGAGTGGACTGCGACCTGAACGCAGTGCCTTAGACCGCTCGGCCACATCCTGAAACACAGAGATGTGCCTTTTTTTGTATGACCAGATTACCATGTTTGACCTTAATCTCATCCAGTAAAGGTTTATTTTATTTCAAACACCAAACTGTTCTGCTGAAAGTTGAAGGCGGACATGCATACACTGGGTCAAATTTACATTGGTAAAATAAACACCTACTTTATGTCATATGTACTTTTTGGTTCACATGTTAGTGATAAAAGTTTTGTTGTATGTGATTCTGAATATTTCTTGCCGTGGGGATAATTATGTATGTTTTATTATGTCCTGACGGTTTCACACCTTGCTTGCCTAAAGCAGTGTATGTTTTGTCATGACAATTTCATGTGTTGATGATAGTTATGACTCATTTTTGATTTTTAAACATTTCACATGTTGATAATTGTCTTTATTCCAGCTGGATCAAAGACAGCAGCAGTATGGAGGCGGCTATAAGCCCCAGAGCTATGGCCAGTCTAGTTTAGATGACAAGAACTTTGACACCCGCAAGCGGGAATATGGCTCTTATGACCAGAATGAGCCAGCTATCAAGCGAGGCAGACAGGACTCTGAAACATACGGTGCCCCGAGACAACAGTATGATGAGAGTGACCGCTATTCACGTGCACAGCAGGCAACAGCTGCTGAACGATCGGCTTGGTCAGACTCTGCACAGATTAAAGATGAACCAGCTGATCTCTATGCTGGTTCACATTGGTCATCATCTGGTTACTCTTCTCAGTCCCCAAGTGTCAGACCTGGTGTGCCTGGAAGCCTGCCTGCACTTGGTCAGAGCCAGTATGGAACTGCTTCTCAGGGTTATGGATCCCAGTTTGATCAGGATTCTTCTCGGCAGCAAGGCATCATGGCAGCAGGAACAAAAGGAAACTTCTTTCAGATCACAAGACAGAGAGCCAGCAGGGGCTGCATCAGGCTCATGGCAGACTGGCTGGAAGGGTCGGGACGATGGGCAGGGTTTGACCACCGGCAGGATTGCCGGTCAAGATTTACCTTACAGCCAGCTTGAAGCTGTAGGTAGAGACCTTGGCAGAAATAGTAGAGAAGCAGATAGGAGTAGCGATAGGGACAGAGGCAGAGATCAAGGAAGAGACAGATTTGGAGATGTGTATACAGATATTGAAAGTAGTGCGGATCGCAACTGGGACAAAAGTTCTGTTTATAATAGAGGTAACACTGATCGAGTAGGATACAGTAGTAGCAATCGCAATCTCCTGGATGGGGGAAACAGTGGTTATGACAACACTGTTCCAGTTGGGGGTTATGCTGGTTATGATCGTTCCCAGCAGGAAGGAGCTTATAGTAGTGGCGCTGATCGCACTCATCAAGATGGAGGATACATTGGTAATGACCTCACTCGTCCAGGTGGTGGGTATAATGGTAATGATCGCACACGTCAAGATGGTAAATCTGACCCCGTGCACCAAGACACTGCATATGGTGGTAGAGACCACACTCGCCCAGATGCTGGGTATGGTGGTTTCGATCGTACTCGCCCAGATGCCGGATATGGTGGTGGTGACCGCACTCGCCTAGATGCTGGATATGGTGGTGGTGACCGCACTCGCCCAGATGCTGGATTTTGGTGGTGGTGACCGCACTCGCCCAGATGCTGGATATGGTGGTGGTGACCGCACTCGCCCAGATGCTGGATATGATGGTGGTGACCGCACTCGCCTAGATGCTGGATATGGTGGTGGTGACCGCACTCGCCTAGATGCTGGATATGGTGGTGGTGACCGCACTCGCCCAGATGCTGGGTATGGTGGTGGTGACCGCACTCGTCCAGATGCTGGATATGGTGGTGGTGACCGCACTCACACGGTTGCTGGATATGGTAGTAATGACCGCACCCGCCCAGATGCTGGATATGGTGGTAGTGACCGCACCCGCCCAGATGCCGGATATGGTGGTAATGACCGCACCCACCTAGATGCCGGATATGGTGGTAATGATCGCACCCGCCCAGATGCCGGATATGGTGGTAATGACCGCACCCGCCCAGATGCCGGATATGGTGGTAATGACCGCACTCTGCCAGATGCAGGATATGGTATTAATGACCGCACTCGCCCAGATGCTGGATACGTTGATTATGATCGTGCTCGGCAGGGTGGAGCATACAGTAACGCTGATCGCATTCCCCAAGATAGATTTGGTAGTAATGATCGCATACGTCAACGTGGAGAGTACACTCAGGATTCTCCAGCATCTCGGAGCAACCAAGGCTATGGTGCCGGTTCAACCTCTGTTCCACAGAACTATGACGCAGATGCCAGAAAATCTGGTAACCAGTCGGGATATACATCTCGATGGGGCCCTCCTGGGCAGGACCGAGCTGCATTCTCAGATCAGATTAAACAAGAAGTTGATGTGGATGCGTTTTCCAGTAGCCAGAAGACATCCAGTCAGTCTACTGAAGGTTCCCGTAGGCCGTCTCGGTTTTCAGCAGCCAGTCATACAGATCTCCCCAAAGCACTTCCTTCTAACACGGGAAACATCAAAACTGAAGTGCCAGCTGCTGTTAAAGATTCTCCCATTCCTGATATCAGGAAGAGTAGCAGCATCAGTGTTTTAGGGCAGCCTGGTTTGAAACCTTTGATTCCAGCATTGGAAAGGAAGGAATCAGATCAGATCAGAAAGGAAAAACCAGCAGTAGAAATTGCTCCTTCTCAGCCAAAGGGGAGTACCAGCTCAACAAATAGCGCCAAGAGGGCAGTTCCTCCAGATAATGTTGAAGGCAGATTAACTGGCATTAGTGAGGACAAGAAGCCTAAGCCATTGGCCAGCACAGAGGAGAAAAAGCCAGAGCTGCCTACAGCTGCTTCTACTAGTAGCAGCAAAGGAGGCATCAGCAGCACCCCATCTAAAGAAGGACCAGACAAAGCAGAATTGCTTCCAGCCTCTGATACCTCTGCAGCTGCCAAAGACCCTTGGAATGGTCCAGCAAATAAACCCAGAGGAGCACCCTGGCAACCGGACAGGTTCCCTGGTCCAAGGGAGGACATGGAAGCCAGACGACTTCCAAGAGGACCAGCCCATTATGGATCCTTTGGTGGTCCTCCGAGAGGACCTATGGGCGGTCCTTCACATGGATTTAGAGGTCCAGGTCCGTGGAATCAAAACCACCCACGTTTTGGACCACAAGGCCTGCCTAGGCCATTTTTTTCGGGTCCACCCGGAAGATGGCCAAGACCCCCTAGATAAAATACTGGCATTGAATTGATGTTGGTTTTTGTTGTTGGATTGTCTTGCTACTTCCCTGTAATGTTCTTCATTATTGTAAAGTGTTTTGTCTTGGTTCATTATCCTCCCAGTAAGAAGTAATTAACCCCTTTTGCTCCAAGAAGCCACACAACTGACAGTTAATACTGTATGAAGTTAATACTGTATGAAGTTAATACTGTATGAAGTATCTTTTCTGTCATAGTAGCGATGGAATTTCTTTTTCCTTCCTGTTAATACTTTCTAAAAGCTTTGTGCTTTGTATTTTCATTAGTCTTTTTACAGCTCGGATTCACTTTGAAACCCAGATTGTATGTGAAATATTGTCGTCTTCTGCCAGTTAAGGATAAGTAAAAGACCATCTTTATTTCAGTAGGAAATCAGTTATATGATGCTGGATTCATCTGTTGCATAGACCAGTCAGTACTCAGTGGGTGATGTGAATACACCGATCACCTTTACTTCCTGTGACATTAACTGGTACCCATTTTAGGCTTAGCTGGTTGAGCCCTATTGATATTTTGAGTCCATATACAGAAGGCCATCTCAGATATTAAAGAAGAAAATCAAAGTTTTCTGAACTGCTGTTCTGTTAAACCTCAAAGTTTCATTCAACAGGTTTTTAAAATACAGTGGAATAAGAAGTACTAGCAGGTCATATGAAAGTGAAGAAAACTCTTATAAATGGTATTCTTCTCCAGCATTCCCAGCTCTTGATTGCTGCAGACATCACCACCCTCCATTCATCTGTAATTGGCTTTCTCTGTCCAGTCAACAACCCCCAGTGTTTGTATTTCTGTCCATATCTCAGAACTTCTTTAATGTTCCAAGAACATTGTTCATTTAAATCCATCTGAAGTTGAAGCTCAGATATCTGATTTGTGACGGAAAATGAGGTTTTTACAAGAGGGTGGTGTTGGCCTCACGCTTCAACCCCCCAATCCGGAGGACCAGGGTATCTCTCTTTGTCTGGTCTCTACCCTTTAACCTGGCAGACTTGGGAGGCCCTGCCGGTAGCTGCATTACCACTGATTTAGCTCTGAGGGTCATTGACAAGCACAAGTTCCTCCACCATGTCAAGGTGGAGAGACCTTCGGGGAGTCATAAACAGTATTATGTCTGGGAAATTGAAATACTGTGGCCATATTTATTGCCACAGTAGCTTATACAGAACGGTAATCAAGAACATGATTTTTGAAGAAAGAAAAAAAAGGTAGGGGTTGAACTTGTATGTCACCAAGTGCTTTTACTTCAGGCTGCAGATGTAGAAGGGGGAAAAATAGTAACTCGAATAAGATCTGAACATTAAAGAGAACTGACTTGTGAACAGTATCATGTGACCAAAAGGAAATACTAAGGCCATAATGTGACAGAAACTGACATACAAAGGCCATAATGTGACAGAAACTGACATACTAAAGCCATAATTTGGCAGAAACTGACATACTGAGGCCATAATTTGGCAGAAACTGACATACTGAGGCCTTACTGGGACAGAAACTGACATACTAAGGCCATAATTTGGCAGAAACTGACATACTAAGGCCTTACTGGGACAGGAACTGACATACTATGGCCATAATTTGGCAGAAACTGACATACTAAGGCCATAATTTGGCAGAAACTTACAATACTAAAGCCTTACGGGGACAGAAACTGACATACTAAGGCCATAATTTGGCAGAAACTGACAATACTAAAGCCTTACTGGGACAGAAACTGACATACTAAGGCCATAATTTGGCAGAAACTGACAATACTAAAGCCTTACTGGGACAGAAACTGACATACTAAGGCCATAATTTGGCAGAAACTGACATACTAAGGCCATACTCAAGATCACAGCAGCCTGAAAGGAACACCAATGGAGGACATATTGATGGTGGGGGGGGGGGGGGGGGGGGGGGGGGGGGGGGGGGGGGGGGCAGATTTTGTAATATTTTCTTCTAGCTAATTGTTCGCAGTGCTTCATTATTAATCTTGTGCAACAGTTGTTCCAGCACTATCTTGTTACAGAATCAGCACTTTTGAATTCAACTTTAAAGTACCTTTGCATGTAACATTTTTGTTTCAAAAATAGGTGTCTGTTTTATGTTTTTATATCATTTATTTTGCTGGTGTACTGTATTTTACAGTCTGATTTTTACTAGTTTCAGTTGATAATTGTAATTTGTTGTTGTTATTGCTATTATTTTAATGTACACCCCAAAAAAATGTTTTGCAATAAATCCACAGTCAAAAAAGAAAATGATGGTATCATTAAACAAGTTCCCTGTGTGGGTTCTAGGATCCCATTGTGGGGAACAGAAGAATAGCCCAACTGCCCCTCTAAAAAGCATGTCTTAAGAATAGACTAACTGGAGGTTTTCTTCAAAGTTGGAGTGCCTCTGCCTGTGAGTCGGTCAGATCTGTAAAACTGATGTACAAGCAAAACCCAGGTTCTGGAACAAGACTAATATCCAGAGGTCGACGAACAACCAGAACTTTCAGTCAGAGTTTACATCCGGTGAGTGCGAAAAAGAAGAAGAATAAATGAGTGGGGACAGAACCAGTGCTAAGCAACATCAAGAGATAACATGTCAAATGGTTCAGGCATTTGTCAAGACTGACATAGGACGGAGTATCACAGAGAGCCCTGTCACAGATACTGTGGAAGCCGACCTAGGGGTTGACTGTGCAAGCAATGGATTGGATGGAATGGAATATTTGAGGCCATGGATACCAGCATTTACGAAGCACACACCAAAGTCTCGCACCAGATACCTCTTCTAAATTTGATGCTGAAAGGGCAGAACAGGGGCTGGAGAAAAAAAGAATTTTCATTGGGAATGTTCATTTTCCTAAACATCCCACTAATAACTTTAAAATATTGCTGGGTTAATCGTTATTTTCGAGGAGCAGCTGGCCAAACAAATAAAAACGTCCGGCTCTCATGTGGGAGATGGAGGTTTGAATCCTCAGTGAGGCCGTAGTTGCGGTTTTTTCTGACTAAGGTAAAAGTACTATTTTAATGTGCACTGCCTGTGCCTTACTAGCCATGCGACCCTAAATACTTAGGCTCAAAGACCAAACTGCCTACAGCGGGGCTATTCAACTGATGGCTTGCGGATCAGTGCCAGTTGTATTGTATTAATGGTTTTTCTATGCTAGGGCTCAAACTTCCGGCCCCTGGCAGTCCCCATTTTCAACTGTTCGGCCCCTGGGTAGACAGCTCAATAGCTCTGGTCCACACCATAATGGTGGTAAATATAGATAGTAATTGCATGTTTGTTTTTGTCAGATCGTTATTTTATCTTAATATGGTGATGTTTGTAGCATTGGAATATTTGAAAACTTACTGCTTTAGTTTTCATTAACTTTGAAATTATCTGTAGTAAAGACTTTCTATAATTTTATGTGAATGTTTCTTTTTTATGTTGTGTAATCTTGCTTATAGAAATAAATGGCTGTCATAGTTGTCTAAAGTCTTTTTGTTTTGTGTGTGTGTGTGTATGCAGGCTTTCCTCTGGCATTGTGTGAAAGAACCCTGTTTGTACCAGCTGAGCTGTAGGTCGACCATACGAGCAGTGGATAGAAGGAATATCAGAGGCCGTAAATACGAGGAAAATGTATTTATAGTAATGAGATGATGTAGAATTTAGGTCAGTACAATCCTGAAAAACACTATGCAAGGCAGACACAAGATGAGCGAATAAATTTGGTAAGAAGTGTGGATGTAAGAGTGAAAGCAATTAAAGCGTGTGGGTATGTATGAAAAAAGGACAATGTGAGGACATTCATTAGACTGGATCCCAAGAGTAAAGGTTTTAAGTGGAGTATGTTAAGACATGAATTCATGTGAGTTTTGGTTGACATAAATATCCATTCTAGAAGGGGGCTGCATGGTATTGAGGCAAGGCGTCCGCCTCAAGTGCTGGAGGTTCCGTGGTTCAAGTTGAAGGCTGGGATTTTTTCATGTGGACTTCTAGTAATTTCCCCTGGTCTCTGGCTAGTAAGATCGGATGCCCGTGTGTATTGTTGCGCACATTAAAAAAATCCCTTGGCCGTTGGAAATCTAAACGAGTAACCTAACGGTGCTGCCCAGGCAAAATTTGGAGTAAAAAATCCACCCACTCAGGCTTGAGTCAGAAGTAGAATGGAGCACTTATGGGCTACTATCCTTGTGCCATGATGTTAATCCATCCTCTGAACCTAACCCTAATCCATTCTAGAAGATGATCTGGCTGTGTGCTCGAGTATAAGCTTGCTGCGATGGAAACACCAACTGTATTCACCATTGCAGTATTGTGTCAGATAAATGTGTATGAAGACAATTCTGTACAAGCTGTAGTTATCTATGACTGTGTTTTGGGTAATCGCATAGTGTGGAACTGAATAGTTAACCATCATTAGTGTAATTAGCAAGGCGGTACAATAGATGTAATTAGAAGCACAGCATGAAGTGGTTTCTACATCCACTCTCCACACTCACAGACGGTAACAATAAACCATTGTAGGATTATTACACTGTCATTAAAGAACAACAAAAGGAGATGGTTTGGCCACCTGACGAGAATGTCCTGGTACCAACTGCCACAGAGATCAACACTGAAGAAGTATAATCGACACAGAACAAGAAGAAGACCATGCAAGCAATGAAGCGGTATCATCAAGATCAACCTAACCTTACAGAAATGAACACCAACTTGTACAATGCATTGGAAAAGGCGCACAAACGATCCTTATACCACCCACCCCACCCCCTTCCAACCCAAACACCTCTCTGGGGTAAATGTTGGAAGAGAAGAAGAAACAGATGATCAGTAATTAGTTAGTTGGGTTCTCATCATTGCACACCGGACGTCCATAGTGGCTCAGATCCTCCCTTCCGTATGAACCCCAATGTCCGATGGCTATCAGTACCAGTTCTATGTTGATTAACAAGTCGTTTGGTGTGCTTGTCGTTTTTTGCTGTGTCGATCTTAATTCCCAAATCTGCCATT